TTAGGAAGATTATGTAGAAGAAAACTTGGTACATACTACCTCTATGTAGTTTGGATTAAAGAGGAAGTTTACATAAAATGCCAGTAGAGCTTGAGTTGCTGAAGCATGAAAATGCATTCCAGTCAGTTAGCTCGCATACGTATATTCTATCAAAATTTTTTTGCGAAGATGATGTCTTTAATAAAAAGTTCTTAGTTAATACAATTATGTACATAAGCCAAATATTGAAATGAGGAAAAGTACTTAGTAAACTGAATATGATAAATATACCTATGGATAGAAAGTGACAATACGTGAATAGCTGTTAAATGTAACTGCCATATTGCTTCTATGCATTTAGGCTAGCTTAATAAATTATAACGAAATCGAAAAATTGATTTACTGAAGTATTTAAGTCATATATTAGAAGTGTTTGTACTACTTATGAATTACTCTGGTAAATTGAATTGATATCAATTGCTAAGTAAGTCTCCAATATCCTCTTATAGCTCATATATATATATATATACATATATATCTCAATCTTCAATCTAAAATTAAATTTTACGCATTTCTTAAATTTGTTTTAATCCTCAATATTTTGGCTTTCAAATAAAAAAAAATCCTTTAAATCAGTTAAAAATTAATTAAATTACGAGTATTAATAACATAATTCATAATAACATAAATGTGATCACATTCGTAATCACATTAAATGTAAGGAAAATACACAATCTGAGCTGTTAGAAATTAGATACTATAATATTAAGATATAGTGATAATCGAATACTATTGACTTAACGGCACCTGTTTCATAGTCATATAGCATATAAAGTCCATTTTTATATGGTCTCTAAATGATTTAAGATCCAACATTTAAATCTTTTGGCTGCTTTTATCCATTAATTAACTGCTATTGATTCGCAAAGCTCTGTTTTTTTAAAAGACTATAGTGGTCTGCCCATTACTAGTTTTGCTCGCCAACCCTCGTTATATTCATAGCTTCTCTTTCATATTCAACAATGTGTATATGTTCAACATATATATTATGTTGTTAACATTCTCTAAAAGAAGTATCAAACATTGTTCTAGTTTTGAAGTTCTTAAAAAAATTTGATGTCTGTTCTAGAGAATATTGAAAGTGTTTTATATTGACATATATTTTTTTATCGATATATCTATAACTATAATTTAAAATTAACTTTTAAAATTAAAAGTGATAGAATATTGATGAAAGTACAGATGAAAGTACTTTTAAGCTTCAAAGAATATTACTGCAAATTTGTTTCAAAACAATCATATCTTTAAAATTATATATAGTATCTTCGACATCCAATTGGCATATAGATACATTAATCCTGACTCTCAGAACGCTATATTCCATTGCGATTAAAGAGTATTGATTATTGGATGTACTCTTATAAAACTACTCGAAAATTTGCTTTTAACCAGTAAAATCGTTATTCTATTTACCCTGAAAATGTGTACAGAGTGATTACCTACATAAATATCTTCTCAATTTTATTCCGTACATTTAGCACTTAATTCCAATTTTTATTTTCAGTGTTTATCTATTTTTTATCTATTGTTATCTATTTTTATCTATCTTTATCTCTTTTTTTATTTTTCGCTTCTGGTTACTGTTATTTGATACTTTGATTTTTGTTTATTTTAATATATGTAAGTATATTTCAACTAAGTTCTCTACGGATAACATGCGTGAATGAAGTGAAAGAGTTAACTTGGTATCGAAATGAATTTAATTTTGTAAGGCGGACATGTATTGCGCAGACATATTTTTTTAATTTAGAATTTGTTACTTTAGAAAATTATGATGCAATACAAAATTTTACATTTTAAATGGAACAAAAAGGAGATTATAAATAGTTGGTTTCATTTATGTGAGTTTAATAATTATTTTTAATTAACATACTGACAATGTTGAAAATAGTATACAGTATTTTCTATGATCATGATATTATTCTTCTCTCTGTATTTATCTAATATGTACTTGTACCCAGTATTAGATGTACCCAGTAGTATAAATATTATGTCGTGGAACTTGCTTTACTATGTATAGATCCCTTGCGCTCCCTTCATGAACTTAGAATATTTCTTTAATTTTAAATACTTCTATAAATTGTAGTATGAAACCTTCGTTACAGAGTTCTATTTCATTATTTGATATGGGATACCCATATATAAAATTCTTTCGTTTATGCATCAGTGTTGGTTACAGAACCTTGATTTTGTTGCTTAATTTTTCCATTAGAGTATTTCCATTAGAGAAAGTTCCTTTTGTTTATGCAAGTTTATTCCAGTGCATAAGATCTTATAGTTTAATTTCGAAAACGCATTTTTTCAGGTATTTCCACCAAGAACTTTTTTGAACATAGTTTATTTATCAATTATTATTTATTGTATTTGTCTGATGCAATAACTGGATTCTTTTATTTCATTGAAGATTTTTTTATAAGAAATATTATAACTTTCTCAGTGGATTCCTTGAAATATCTTCAAATTTGATTCTATACAATATTTATATGAACCATCCCGAATTATGTTTATCTAAAATAACGTATTCATCTAATAAGGCATATGTCATTTATAAAATACACAAAATTGTGAATTTTATACACTTAATGTGGATTTTTTTTATTTAATGTGTTGAACTTTTTCAAAAAATTTATTTAATTATTTCAATTTTTTTACTTGCAGAATCCTAAGTACTCAAATAAATAAGGTAAGTTTGTGCGATACCTTAATTTTAATTTTATTCCTTTAAATAATTGTCTAATTTTTATTAGAATTTCATAATACCAACTTAAAACTTATGTATGAATTATATTGTATCCGATTTATGCTTAACAATTATAAATGACAGTTATTATAAATATTAAAAAATTATATATTCTACATAAGATTTACAATATACCACGTAATTCGTATATATATTTTTGGTGCGAAATTACAAACATACCTAATAAAATAAAAACTTCTTTGACCACTTTCATAGTTATTATACTTTTCACAACTTTAATTAGCACCACTTTCAAGACTTTATGTGATTCAGAACTTTTGTAACCTCCCGCGTACACTTAACGCACAGTAAATACGTTCAACCGAAGTGCTTAATATCAACTGCTGCGTTTTACTCAAAAGTTTTGGTTTTTATATCAAAAAATGATATAACCCAAGTGACATAAAAGCTTCTTCATCAATTCCACTCATGCGGCGGTCTATTGTGGCAAGATTGACCAATACAGAATTTTTGATGTGTGCTCCTCCAAAATGAACTATGCTACATTGTAGCAGTATTATCAGAGTGCATTGTTTCTCATATTCAAAATTTATGTTTCTTGGCGATATCATCGCGGTTCTTGAGGCTTAGTATTCAAATTCTGCACCTCAATGCTTGGCGAGCGCATCTTAGGCGCCTCGTTAGCAAAGCTTTGAGATTTATTGGTTTGCGATTAAAAACTTTATTGTTCTTTTGTTTGAAGATCGCAGAAACAAGCTTGGAAATAATTGGATTTAACTTAACAAGTGCAAAAATTTATTTGACAATTGCACATATACAAATTCATAGATAATGTACTACTTTTCTATCATAAAAATAATGATGTCTTTTTTCGTTTATTTTAATTAAGGTTAGATTATATCCTTCGGGTATTAAATTTGATTGGAACCTTGAAATCCTATGCTTGATTGGCTATTGCTTAAATCTTTACAAAACCAAGTCAAAAATGAAAATAAAATGTTAATTTTTCATTGTTTTATATAATAAACTAAAGACAAATACATCTTAATTTTTAAAATATTTAAATATTTATTGATCAATAAATATAGGTGTAAGAGTATGTTAACGAAGACATTTCAAGGTCATATTAATGGCGTTTCAAGCCTTGATATATTTTACAAAATGTTTAAAAAAACTTTTTATAAAATGTTTTGTTTTATAAAAATGATTTTCTTGAACATTAAGCAGCAAAAGACAAATCCACCAAGTCAACCTAAACCACCTTATCACTTCAAAAGGATAATTGGGCTTGTTGGCAATAGGACATTTCAAAATATTGAAGCAAATATTTTGTTATAGACTTTATCCTGCAGATAATCATATAAATGTAACAAAAATTATAGCTAAAAAGTTAGAGTGGTTGTTTAATTCAAACTCTGCACTTTATGTTCAAAATAAATAAAAAACTTCAAAAAAAAAACTATTTTAAAACCTTTATGGACTTACAGTATTCATTTTGCGGAACGAGTACTCACTCCGATAAAGAAATACTGAAGTGTAACCAATCATTTAGATAAGTTTATAAGTAAATGTAATTTCACAGCTTGCCAAAAGAAAGATAGAAAAATTTCGACTCAAAGTGGTCCCTGCCATGTCCATTGTTTACTAATGTATTTGAATCTTTGAGCCAGATTCGAATTCTGATATTACAATATTTCCTTTGAAGATTTATAGTTAGCATTTAAAATGGAAGCAGGAAAATCACATAAACTTAATGATGAATAGTCGCTATCGTAGTAAGAAATCTGCTTGCAATTCTTTACGGAATTTAAGTGGGCGGTTTGATAAGTCAGTGACTTTCTGAATTTCCCGCGCAGTTATTCCAAATGCAACAGTGCTGCCGTCAACTGAAATCTACCAGTGGG